TTCCATTACAAAGATATATTCTTTTGTAGCTGGATCTTGTGTTAATCCATAAATTTTATTTATAAATGATTTACCATAAAATATAACATAATTTCTAAACTATATAAAAAAAATATATTGAATTTTAGAATAATATTTAAAAAAACTAAAGCTTCTCACAAGCTGGCTTGTGGGCCAAAAAACTTATTCAGCTTGCGATCTGGCTCATGCGGAGCCTTAAAAAAAACTGAAAATAAACAAAAAAATAAAATAATTTACCTCATTAAGAAAATCATCAGAAATATTCCATGAATTATGTAGTTTTTTTAATACCACAGGCATATCTTTGCTAGTTCTTTTGTTATTATAATTTAAACTTTTCTTGCCATTTAACCAAGTAGCTTTGTAAACAGTTGCAAACCCACCTTCACCTATCCTTTCAATATTTGTTAAATCATCATAAGGAATATATTGAAGATAAATATGATTATGATATCTTGTTGCTTTAAGTTGTGTACTTTTAATCAAATCATCTAATGTTTCATTGCCACTAGTCCATCCTTCAGTTAATAACTTTGGATCACATGATTGACACCATGAATCATCAGTATTATATCTATTGCAAGTTGGACATTTCCCATATTTTTCACATCTTTTATCAGAATATTCATCTTCATTGTCATCATTTTTTTCAGTAGAAGTATCATCATGATGTTTATTTTCATCCAAAGTGTTTTCCATCTTTAAAAATTATTTGTAGTTTTTTATTATATTTGTATAATTTGTCAAAAAATTTTTTTTAAAAAAGAACTTTTTTTTTTTTATTTTTTTAGCCACAAATATGTATCACACAAAATACAGTTTTTTATATTGGGGATTGCTATTTCCGTTAAATTTCACCTAAATTACTCAGCATTATGTAAATAAATCTGGCATGACACTCTAAAATGGTAAAAATCATAGACCATAATTAGTAATGCCACCATAATTATCTTCGGCTTATAAATATTGCAAGTGTGCGATCCAAGTTATTTATTTCGGAATCACCAAATCTGGCATACTAAATCACTATATACAACTATACTACCTGATTAGGGTTTCTATTATTCGAATTATTTGTTTTAGTTATTATTATTATTATTATTATGAATTTGAGTATTTGAATTACAAATAAAATGAATAGTAATAGCAAATAATTCGATAATTTGAATAAAACAAAACGATAATTTAAATAAAACAAACAAAAAAACGAATAATTTGTATAAAATGTATAATTCAAATAAAACGAATAAAGCGAATAACCGAACAAACGAATAACCGAACAAACGAATAACTCGAATAAATGAATGATAATAATTCGAATAAACGAATAATTCGAATAAGAATTTATATTACTATTACTATTACAAATAGAAATTCTACTATATTATGGAGTCACCAAATCTGGCACAGCCAATAATGTTCAAATCACCATATACAACTACACTACTTGAGGGATCCCTACAACCCTACAAGCAACACAGTAAAACTAAAAGAGGTTCCTAACTAATAGTTAAATGTTGACTAAACCATTAATCATCAAAAAGGATTATGAATAAATAAATCATACCACATCAGGAAAATTAATCTTTAAAAATGCATATTATTAGCAGATATAATATACTTATTTATGATAATTTAATTAGTATTTCAAAGAAATCAGAAAACTAGATGATAGAACCTTTAACATATATAAATAACATTGTAGTTTTCTTAATTTCATTATCAATTAATCAATCATTGTATAATAATCATAATAATCATTTAATAAACCTTGACCTTGTCCTTGTTATTGTCTTCAAATTTTATATTTTTGTAATGATAATAAATCTATTTCTAACAATGAATTCATACTAATCTCGTGCATAATTATTTTCTGTTATTTATATTTGTCCCTAATTTTTTTATTTCTTTTCTTTCTTTAGTGAGGTAATATTTAATAAATTTTATTTAGTGAGGTTTGGGAAACATACCTGACTTGAGTAGGAGAACAGCTAAGAAGGGCACCCACCAAGAAATGTAATCAGGATATAATGTGAAATCTAAAGATATTGTTTACCAAGGAATTGTTTAGCAATAGTGAAAGATAGTTTTAAGAGTAAAGCGTAAATATACATTCACAGAATTGTTGTTATGATTTGGTATAAATAAATTGGAAGAAATGTATTAACATTAGTGGCGTTTAAATAAATAAATTATCATCTTCGGGACTTGGACACAATCTCACATTTTGGTGACAACAACAGGACATGATCTCATATTTTGATGACAATTACAAGATACAATCTCACAGTAGATAAATAGTTTAAGAAAAATACAAATATAAATTATTAGTAGATGAATGAAATAGTTTGATAGCTGCTTCAATATTTTTACCTTCTGTAAGATTACATCTTAACATAAAATACCTTTTATTATATGTGCAATCTATAAAAAAAATTTGACAAGAATTTACTACCTTTGTATTTGTTCAGCAATGTTGATAAAGATGATTTTGGTAGCATTGGAATATCTTTGAACAACTAATGCATCATTTATGATGTTTGTGATGTGATGTTGACAATGGTGCCGAAGATGGATGACTCTGGCATTGGATCAGATGATTGTTATGTAAGTGGCTTTCAATGGGTTTATATGAAATGTTTACATGGCTTTCCCTTTAACAAACTGAAATGCGGTACAAATATAATAAAACAAAATCTAAAATGCTTCTGATACACCTTTATCTTCTTGATCATAATTTTGGTATTGTTAAATTATTGAAATTGCTGCTAATAAGATCCTTGGTACATTTTGATGGAAATAACGCACTACTCATACCAACTGTTACATCTAATACTACAAGTGTAAACCAATAATGATAAAGGGTATAAATGAGATATTATAACATTTTTCAAAATAGTTTAAATTCTGAGGATAATTTAATCATAGAAAATAATGATGATGATGAAAGTAATTTAGAGGATGTTGATGATGATAGAGAAAATATTTCTTTAGATTCTTCTGTAGATACAATTTTAAATAATCTTTTATCATTGTTTAACACTTCATAAGTTAATCTATTCTTTATTACTGTAAAAAAATAAGAATGTTTTAATTGTAAAATAAGTATATTCATACATATTTTGCAAATAATTAGTGAATCATCTTTTTTGATTTATGTTTTGAAAAAATAAGTAGGAAATAAGTATCTAAACTTTTTGTAGGGTTGTTCATTTTTATAATTTAGAAGGAAGAGAGCATTCTCGCTTGTGAACTATATTCATATTTTATTACCTCCATCAGTTATAATACATAATCACACATCCATTTTTTCTTGTCAAGTAATTTTAAAAAGAGAACTTTTTTCGCTTCAATCATTTGATGATTTTTCATGAATAATGCATTAATATTTTATTATCTCAGCAGTTGTATCATTGATTGTATCATTCATTTATCATGAATAATGCATTAATACAGGGTTGGCAAATGTGCGGTCCATTGATGGTCTATTGGTGGTCCATTAACCATATTTAGTATTTTATTAATGGCAATGGACCAGTCCAAAATCCATCAGTTCTCAATGGACCAGTCAATTTGCCAACCCTGCATTAATATATTATTATCTCATCAGTTATATCATCAAAAATTTAGAGAATATCATGAACAATACATCTGTATTTATTTATTTCATTTTTATATCATCATTTTTATATCATCACTTATATCATTGGTTATCTAGTGTGAAGAAATACATTTTATTATGTTCAGAAATATGTATAAAAAGATTGATTTCACAACCTTCTGATGTTTGAGATAAAAGATAAATATTTTAAATTTAAAAAATCACGTGAAATTCGATAATTCGGTCCACTCACAGGGGTCCGCCCTGACATCGAGTTTATATATGTACATTTGATAATGAAGACAGATCCTATTACCTCTAGGTAAAAAAATATTAAAATAATTATTATGACAAACACAACTGAATGACTACAGCTATTAACTTACAAAATTTCTTATTAATAGCAAACATTTCTCCTTGCAACATTCCTTATCATTTTCTAAAGGTTCTCTGCTTTATTTACTAATAATTAAAAATGTAGCCTTTTTTAATTTCTTTAAAAGATGAATTTGATGAACCATTATTATAAAGACTAGTGCCGTAATCCAAAAAAGGAAAAAACATGGTTTGCAAAAGTGGTCGCAAAGGTAATTGCAACCACTTTTTATATGCCGTAAATACAATTACTACCATCATCATAATTTACGGCACTAGTCTTTACATTATTACAAATGCCATTTGCAATTGATATAACATCATTATATATTTTATTATAAGTTTTATATACAAATTCCACTCTGTCTTGACATCTTTGTTATATTTTTAAAAATTAAACTAACTTTTTATACTAACTACAATAAAAATCAAAAAAAATCATCATCCACGAAGATTTCCTAATCTTTAAATAGAACGAATATTCTTTATTATCTATTTAATCTGTTATATATAAAAAAGCAAAGGAAATATATAAATATTTACAACACAGATGGTTAATCAATTTGATTTTAATGTTATGCTTGGAGTAACTAACTAACTATATAAGAAAATGAATAAATAACAAAAATGATAAATATTAAATATTTGTGATCACCAATTTAATGATTTGTCGTTGGTTTGAGCACAAACATCAATATTTTTAGACCAATCATATACGCCAGATCTTCTATAAAAAGAATCCTGATCCCAACCTGATTCTTGAAGAGCAACGTCAACATCGACGTTTAATAATGATTGACTTGGAATTTTTTTGTTATCACGACAATTTAAAAAACATAAATGTTCGTCTAAAATCAAATAAGAGTTTTTCATGATGTTGTTTGGTTCCGGTACTATGCATTGTTGTTGTTGATGACGACTGATGAATGATTGAAATTGTTCATCAGTTATCACAAAATCTCTCGCATCTCTTAACGTTTTGTCGTTACTGTCAATGCCAGCATCACCACCGTTCTCATTTTCCAATATTAAAACTTGAAAACATTTCCATCTGAAGGGCTTAAGGTCTTCAATGTGTGAATTCATATCCTCTTGCCAATTATACCTGTTAACCACCGTGTTAATCTTAAATTTAATGTTAAACTCACGACACCATGTTGAAATGTTTTTTAGATTTTTCAAGTGTTCGCCTTTTTTTCCTCTACCAATTTTTACATTCGTAGAATCATCGAACGAATCGCACGAAACTGCCAAAATATCAATATAGTCTTTATATTTAAGTAAAAAACTTCTAGTTATTTTGCTACCATTGCTAACTATCGAGACCGATTCCAATTTTAATTCTTTTTTACAATATTCAATCAATTCTCCCAAATACTTCATATACAAGAATGGTTCACCACCGGCAAAATTCATTTTTCTCATTCCGGCATTTTTTAATTTCTTTAAAGCTAATTTTGAATCAGACATTTTTGGAATGTCGGATGTTTTTGATGTGTGAAAACAGAAACCACATTCGTAATTGCATCTACGTGTAAAATGAAAGTTCACTGAAATTGGTGAAATTGGTGATGAGATTGTAGTGGGGTTTGTAGAGCCATATTTTTTTTCATCTTTGCATTTGAGATTTTTAAGTTTTTCAAATTCCTTGGAAGGTTGAAGCAAATAAGTGTAAAAATAATATGGTAATGGTATCATAATAAATAATAAGCATATTAATAGTAGTGTTGTCATTTTATTTTAAAATAATTAATTATTTTCTAGCCAATATTAATAATTGTAAAGAAAACAGAAAGAAAGCGAAATATTTCCAAATTTTTTCTTAAGTTGAAAAAGGTAAATGATGATATATATTTATATATTTTTCAACCTTTACATGTATTTAGCGTTTACAAGAGAATAAAATAGCTACAATTGGAAACAAATACGTATTATTACTGAGTACCATTGAAGATAAAAACATAGAAATTACCAAATTTGACTATAAAACTCGGGTCCAGGAATGGTAATACTAATAGGACTTGAAAATTTAAAATGTCACCTCTGACTATTCGATCCACACAATAGCAATATTAGGCGTTTAATTTGCGGTGACACACAAATTAATGCTATTACTCATTACATATATAGCAATCATTTAATCTCATTCATAATTGATGTATGGCGTAATAGTAATGCGTTTTTGAAATCAAGCGAATTTGTACACTTTTTTTATTACACAAAATTAATTTTAAAAAAATCAATTGAACATCTTGAAATCGGGAACCCGAAAAAATGGACTAAAAGGATACAATTCCTTAAATATAGTGCTGATTTAATTAAAGAAATCATGTGATTTGTGACTCTCATTATTGATAGTAATGGTAATGGTAGTACTTTCAAGAAAAAATGCGATAAAATTTCCTTGGTCATGTGACCTAGAATGAACATTCCTTGTACATTGTACTACATAAAAATTAACTAATTGTTTATAATGGTATTGTTTACACCCTTTCTTTATTTACTCTAAAAAAGAAAGATTATTTAATAATTTTAAAGAATTGTTACACACGACCATAAAAATTACCAATTTTGGATTACTATGGTTTGAGGTATACTGTAAAAAAATGAAAATATATAGTACTGGGAAAATTCTATTGAATGTCACCGCCAAATTAAAATCATATTAACACGAATCTCGAAAGTTGATTGATGGTTTTTTTCCGTTTTTACCTCTATGGTACGATTTTTTTCTTGTATGTAAAATTGAAATATTATGGAGTGGGGTGAAATTCTGATTGGCTAATTTGAATTTCACATACAGTCACACTGTCTATAACAGGTCATTGGGACCAGGAAAATTTGTCCGTTATAGAGAGAATCCGGTATAGAAAATTGTACTACTACTACATTAAGTCATGGGGAATAAAAAACTTTTTAATCCTACATAAAAAAATATTATTAATTAATATTTAAAAAACAGTAATATAGATTGTTTTGTTGAATTGAATTCTATTTTTTTAATTTCTTTTGACATTTTTTAACTATTTCAATTCCTCTTTTGTAAATTCCTTAAACTGTTGTTCAAACAAACAAGTTTACTTTTTCAATAGCCAATAAAGCATCTTGACTTAAATAGGGGATGTCTCTTCGATGTCTTCATCCTGATTTTCTTCATTAAAATCCGACATAGAAATTATTTCTTCTTCGTTCAGCAAATCATCATCATCGACATTTCATCAATACTTTTAGTTCATTACATCATACCTTATGTCATTTATTTCAAATAATTGTTTTAATTTTTTTTTGGATTTTTATAGACAACGTTTTTTATTAATTATAATTTAGATTTGGAAAGATCTGCATTTTATTTCAGATCACGTGAATCCGTTATAGGCAGTGTTGATTTATAAGTCATATGAAGTGATTTTCAGATACAATCTGTTATACGTAATAAAAGGTTTAATTAATAATATCCGTTATAGAAAAAGATTTCAAATAGTAAAAAATTGAGACCAAACTTTTAATCCGTTATAGAGAAAAAATCCGTTATAGAAAGATCCGTTATAGACAGTGTAGACTGTATGTGAATTGCGAATTCACATAATTTCATTTTCACGTACAACATTTATATTGACCTGAATTATAGTGTCGAGGTCATCTTTTCTTGTTTTGAATTATGGTGTTGACAGTGACATTCAATAGAATTTTCCCGGTCCTAATGAAATCGTAACTTTCTAGAGAAAGATATGGTTTGTTTTTTTCGGTTTTACGTTTTCGTTTTTGAAGGAATTAAAGGATCTATACTGCCAATAAAAAGTTCAGCAACAAACTGACCTGCACTAAAAAACATGATTTGATAACAACAAAACCAGACAAAGTGAACATAAAGATTTCAGCAAAATAATGTGACCTTGCATTCCTTGCTTCATAACTTTCGTAGCTTTCTAATTATTCAATCAATAACCTCCATAAAATCATACTTAACCTACTTTTCTTTCATTTTCTTTCATATTCACATTCACTTAATTGCCATTTTGTTTTTTTACTCAGTTAACTCTTAATAATTTTCTTTTGTTTAATTAATTGAGGCTTTTGCTTTAACTTTATCCTGAAGCTCCCAAATAAATTTTTGCTGTTCACTATTATTTTCTTATCTTCATTTAAATACTTTAGTTGCTTGCTTTAATTGAGCAATATCGCTCTCTAGTTGCCTAATTATTTGCTTGGTTGTCTCTTTTTCATTACCATAATCATTCTCTAAATCTTTTATTTTTTATCTTTATCCTTGTTTGTTATTGTTGTCTGCAATTAACTTATATCCACATTTCTTTTCTTTAATACCTTCTTTTCTTTATTTTTGGCACTCATCTCATTCTGTTTGTATTGATCATGTCATGTTCTTACTTCTTGAGTTTTAGTTTTTAATTTTTGAATTTCTTTCTCTTGCACTTTGATCTGTTTTTGATAATTTTTATGATCAATTTTTGCATTGTCTTTTCCTTTTTTGATCTCTCTAATAGTTGGTCATGTTTATATTTGATTTGCTTCCCTATAAAGAATAAAATAAGGAAATGACACAGAATAAACCGTATGGAAAATACGGAATTTTAGATAATAATAATAATAAACAACACGTATTAATATTAGTATTAGTATGTTACAAATTCCGTATTTTATATGTGGAATTAAAAGGTACCTTTTCAGCATGTTATAGCTACAAATTCTGTACCTATTCCGTATCCTACATGCGGAATTAAACCGTACCATTTCAGTATTAGTATGTTACTATTATAAATTCCGTACCAATTACGTACTTTATACTAAATTTTAATTTGAAAGGAAGTAACTTTTCATATCCGTATAATAATAAGAAATACGTTAATTCCGTATAATATTTTTTAAGAACATATTTAACATACGTTAATTCTGTATTTTATTTTTCATAGGGCTTTGATTTGTTGTCAATTCACTTATTTATTCATTTCCTAATTGGCTGATTTCATTTTGAGTTTCCTGTTTGTTTTTCTTTTCATTCAGAATTATTTCAGCTAATTCAATGTTTCTTTTCAAGCTATTATCTCATTTTTCAAGTCATCATCTATTTCTCTTAAGGCTCCGAAAGAAACGAAACGAATTTTAGAGTGATTCGATTCGAATTAACCAGATTTCTAAATTTATATTACACAAGTAATGATGTATGACGAAACTTTTGACTTTAGTCATTGACGTGACGAAAGTACTGACTAAAGGTGGTTTCTCACCA